AGGCGGCGGGCAGAGATGCGCGTTTACCGGGTTCGTTGTCGTAGGTGGTGCGTTAGGGTGCTAAGTGCAAGCTCAATTGTTTCAGTCCAGCAATACAGAGGGAGGCTGTACACAGCCAGAGCCGGGTGGAACAGCAACGACAAAAAGATGTGTAGTTGCAGGGACGTTCGGTGCTTAAAGCCAAGGCAAGTGCTTCTGTAGAGCAGTTCTTCAGCCGAGCTGAACTGGGTGCAAGTTAAGATTCCCAGTGGTGCGGTGGGCTGCCCTCCTGCTGCCGGCCGGCGTGCTCGGAGGGGCGGCCCGGGGGAGAAGGTGCGTGAGGGGCCGACGTGGATGTGCAAGAATAACTTTCCCCCAAACTTTCTTCCTCATGGCTTTGTGGAGGAGCGGGTCTTGGCCTCGAAGCGGTTTTGTTAAAGAAAATGCTCAGTGCCTGACAAGAAGACACTCAGCATCCCATGTTATTTCCCCTCTGCTTTTCTTCTCTTCCCCGCTTTTAGCTATAAATAGGGCCCTAGCTTTTAAAGTTTGGCGCTGTCCTGATTTTCATTTGGTCCAGCCTCATTTTGAAGAGGAATGTCTATTTTAATACCTGTTTCATGTCCTACGTATTATCTGTATATTACATAAACTGTACAGTGAAAATATTCACGGGAGTATTGGGACAAATCGCGCAATCCTCAAACTGGCAAGACAGGTGTAAGATTGCATGCTCGGCCCCAGGTAATCTCTTGAAGGACTTAACAGCATGGCACATAAAACTTGCTGCAAGGGGGCTTTTGAATATTTCAAATGAAGAAGTCTCTAATCTGATCTCAAATACATAGATGCTCTTTGCCAAGTACCTTAAATTCATCTTCTGCACTTACAACAGAGTGTGACAGTGCTTTTTTTGTTCTTTTGACACACTAAGCAGCATGCACCCAAATATTTGAAATGAGGACAGCAATTAAAGTCTACATTTATACCGATGCGAACGATGCCAGACTTACTAACTTAGCTATAGTATGATATAATACACACTTAACCTAAGATTTAACCTCAGTTAAAATTGCTCAGTAATATGTATCAAGTAATATGATAGTTTGGTAAAAGCTTTACAGAAAAAGCCTTAGTAAGGAATCTAGAAGTATTGCATGTCCAGATATAATGGGAATGTTTAAATTGTTTCAATGGATTGATTGTATCTGAGATGCTACGTACACCAGATAAACAGCATGCTACCGCTTTCTATTACTGCGGAAAAAATCCATAATTACTAAATATTTCCTCCCAATATTTTTTATTTGTGCACATGTAGGGAATAACTTAAGATGCCCGGGCCTTAAAACAGGGTTATCAAAACAATAAGACTATGGTGTTTGTAGTACTGAATAATATATAAGGTAATGATCAATAGTCCCTTACAGGGAATATATTTCATCTTTACATTAGCTTGGCTATAAATTTTCCCTGTTGGCTTCGACTTGTGCTGTGTTAGATTTATGCCATTCATGCCTGTTATTGATTAGTACACAACTATTTTGTGGGAGGTGCCAAATTAATTGTTCAAAAAAATCCATGGAAGTGCTTTTTTATTGGCGACGTGAGGCTCAACACATACTATACCCTTACTTTATTATTTCATGTAGATACAGTTTTCACTAAGCTTTGAAAAGAGTTACACGGTGTGCCTAGACCTGAAAATTCACAAGATGTATTGAAAACGCTACTCTCCGCTGTATTTTGCGTCTCAGAAAGTAGCGTAACGCAGCAGCGCGCTTTTGAACGTTGCTGGGTAAATCCTGCGGGATCATTACGGTCTTACATGAGCGCTCCCAAATAGGAAGCAATTTCCATTTTTTTCCACAAGACTTCCAGGTTTATGCAAGGTTTGACTGGTAGCATCCTCACTGAAGAGGTAAGCAATTTGCAGGGAAGGCTGCCAAAACAAACCCCAAACCCTCCGAACCAGATGAGCTGATACTTGCTGTGCCGGGCACAAACCTGGGAGCGTTGCAGAAGCGGTGCTGCTCTGCAAAGTGTCCTTATCTCCAGCGCACAAATGGCTGTGTGAGCTTGCCGTTACATGCACAGGAAGACTTAATAATTTCTACGCTATTACTTAGGTTTAGAGTATTTCAGTTTTCAAATTTGAGATGAGTATAAAATCGCACACCAGAGAGAATGGTTACTATCTAGACAGAAATGTGTGAGACTCTGGACTATACTAAGGATTTTCATTTCTCAAGCCTCTGGAAGATCATCCTGTGAGTAAATCTTTCCCCATATTCCCGATTCACTGATGCCTGGAAGCTGATCTTTTGGTTCCATGCGTAACGTTGGTTTTATCTTGCAATTCTGATTCAAATTTATTTTTTCAGAATTTATTTTGCAAGGCAAATTTCATAAGTTCTTTAATACCGCTAATTTTGGCAATCTAAAAAGTTGGGTATTTTTTCTTTGAATGTATTATTTGTTGTGCAAATCAGAATACGTCTGAGCTTTAGATCTGTGTTTAGAAATTATGGGAAAGCTTGAGAGTAAACTTTTAATCTGGTACCTTGATGCTGTCTGCAACGGATCATTCTAGCAGAGACTCAAAGGACTTCACTGTTCAAGTATTGTCCTTTAAGATATTTTCATTTGTTCCTCATCTTTCTCCAAACAACTCTGAAAATGGGAAAATATCTTTGAAAATAACTGCTTGTCACTCAGGGATCAGTCACATCTGAAAAAAAAAAAAACTCTCAATGGAAACAATATGTACATTGTTTGTTTTTTCCTGCATTTTATAGGTATACTGGAATTTATCAGTATAGCAGTGGGCTTGGTCAGCATCCGAGGAGTCGACAGTGGGCTCTACCTTGGAATGAATGAGAAAGGGGAACTGTACGGCTCGGTAAGTTCCCGCTACCCTTGGGCTGCCGTGATCCTTACATTCGGTGGGAAAAATACTTGCTAGCTCCTACAAGCCCCCGTTGCACTAGGTGCTGTACGAGCACTGTTTCTGCCCTAAATATCGTGCAGTTTAATTCGAAACAAAACGAACATGGGAGAGGGAAAAGGGGACAAAATCAAGAATGGGTGATCCTGCGGACGGACGACAATTTAGACGCAAGCACTGGGGACTGATGGCCAGAGCTGGTCGCTGAAGACTAAAGGACGTACTGTAAGATTTGTAAGCCTGTCCTTTTTAGTACAGACCGAAACCGAGACAAAGTCGCTGCCTTTTGTGCGCAGGCAGAGAGCTTTCTAGGAATTAACGCAAGCAGAGAGGGAGGCGAAGGGTGGTGTATGTGGATGAGAAAATGAGAAATAGAGTGGATAAAAGCTATAAAAAGTATAGGGATGAGGGCAAGAGGCTTGGTGGACTTGTCCTGAAAGTTCA